GAAGAAGATGAATATGAAGAAGAAGAAGAAGATGAATATGAAGAAGAAGAAGAAGAAGAGGAATATGAAGAAGAAGAAGAAGAGGAATATGAAGAAAAAGAAGATGAATAAGAAGATGAAGTTGAATAAGAAGATGAAGTTGATTAAGAAGATGAAGTTGATTAAGAAGATGAAGTTGATTAAGAAGATGAAGTTGAATAAGAAGATGAAGTTGAATAAGAAGATGAAGTTGAATAAGAAGATGAAGATGAATAAGAGGATGAAGATGAATAAGAAGATGAAGATGAATAAGAAGATGAAGATGAATAAGAAGAGGAAGGAGAAGATGAAGAAGATGATGAAGACGACGATGAAGAAGCCTTTAGTCGCCACCGACATTTTATCGCCTACCGATATTTATCAAGAAACGAATTCGCAAACGCATTATCCGAAAAAAATGGGAGTCCGCGTTAATGGCTACAGAAAGGAATTGTAGAAGATACTGATGTAGACCAAATAATTGATATTGTAGGATAAAAAGTAAATAAATTTAAAAGATGGTTAATAACAAGCAAGTAATTGTTTTAATGCTAATAAGAGTATGTACTTATAAGACAATGTACAGTGTATTGTATACAATAATTTGAATTGTTGTGTAGAAGAAAATGATTTCAAATGGTTTTTTTTTGTTATTACAATTCTTGTAATATATTTTTTTAAATTGTGTACCATCTGTTAATTTCTATGATTTTGTTAAACAGAAGGCCACTTTTTTCTGAAATTCTAGAGCCGAATATTAATCCCAGACCCGTCTTGATATCAATGCCATTTTGATGTATTAATATTTTTCGTAACATTCACAAATGTATTTGTTAAATATCTCTCATGTTATTAATATTTATATTACACTAATTCTGTATTCATTTGGTCTTATGTGTAAAAGTGCTTCAAATTATTTCAATGAAATTGCTCGAAAACTTACTTTTCTGTGAAGATCTCAAAAATAAGCATTATCAAAAACGCTCAAACGACATTTGCAAGAAAATGAGTCCAAAGATTCATTGTATAAGGTAGGAGGTGTAACAATGACAATGTCATAGGCCACTATAGAAAAATCGAAGTATACGTGTAAGTTCTCAATATCCTACGCATAAGCAGTCTTCCGTCAAGCATAGTAGGCGATGGTAGGTATTCGCCACGTATGGGGAAACAATCACTTCTCTAATTCACACATTTCTAACGCTGGTAGTATATTCTAATCAGCGATTTATTCTCAGTCAATGAAGTTCGAGTGCTTGATCTTTATTGAATAAGAAATACGATAGTATTAGACTCGGGTTCTCACAAAAAGACGGTTTTTTTTGTGCCCATCTATCTATACTACCATTGTATTAATATTTCCTTTACTTGTTTTATTACTAGAGTATTAGTATAATTTCACCTGGCGAAAGCAAAAATAAATTAATCGTAAATGCGGAATTATTTACTTACCTCGTAAATGTCAGGAGATTCAATCCTCTTTCTCCAACAAAAAAACACTTGTCTTTACACACGATTATTGAATGGGATCTGTACGAAAGTAAACAGTAGCCACAAACGTCTATCCTTTAGTCATTACGTAAGAAGTATTTAAAATTATCTTCAAATGGGTTACCTTCTAGCGCGTACGAAATCCTTAGCACCAGTATGCGAGAATAGCATTATTGGTTCACCGTGCCAACGTTTAGATCGCTTACACACTATTACATGTCACAGGTCACTTGACGTGAGCGCCATACGCTTGCAACCGCGCGCTCGAGTGGCAAGTTGCAACTGCCGACCGGCAACCAGGCAGGTGGCGCCACATTCATAATCGGTTTATTGAGCTAAAGCATTCGCTGCATCTTCACATGACAGCAATTGACGACTTTACGCGCAATTTAAGGTCTACAATAGGACACATTTTGAATGTTGAATGACAAATTCGTGATCAAGTTGTAATGCAGTGAAAATCCGATGTGTCTATTGAGGCAAAAACGTATTTTCCAGATCTTCCCTTTGATTGGCCTCTCTAGATGTCAGAGTCTGTTTCCTATTATTTCTGTAATTGGACCTCCACGTCCAGTCCTACCAGCCTACTAATATATAACTTTAAATGTAAATTAAACATTTCAAATTCAGTTGAATACATTTTTATATTGCTTTATTATTTTACTGTAATTTACAAGTGCTGGAAAAAATTATTCACAACAAAAAAACATGCACAGTAATATGCTTCAAACCTTAGCTGGTAATGTATGTGGGCGTGGATACGTTGTCTCTTACTGCCTGATGTTTGCAAAGCAGTACATTTATAAATCAATTTGAATAAGCACATTGAACAAACATCTGAAAGGAGGGGACATTGTCTTCTCTCCCAAACATTTAAAAATATATCCTGTAATTCCATTCCAATTTATTTCTTTACTAATGATACTTTGAGAATAACACTACAAAATAAGAATATTTATATTATGTACAAAGCTTTCAGATTGTGAACCTATATGATACATACATAAATCTTTAGTTACCATATGCAGCACACACAAATGCTTAGTTACGTTCATTAGTCGAAATGCCTCGAAAAGGAATATTATGAAAATTTTCCTGAACTGGCATATGTGAGGCAACTTTTGCGTTCCTTCCCACTAGCACTGTAACTGCTACCACCATGGTCTCCAATGCTGGTGCCTTTCCCAAGTGGACCGGAGTACTAATGAATTCAATGAAAAGCTCAGCATAACTTCACTTCTTTTAATCTACATGCACCTTGTTAGGTTCAATACCTCAATAAAAAAATTGATGTGGCTCGAAATGAAATCCCACACAGGTACACTTTTTTGATGCTCCCACCCAGTTGACAGACTTACTAGAATCCTGATACTTTTTTTTACTAGAATTTTATGTATACGGAAATTGATGATGTACAATTTAATATTCATTTACTCTTTTTATCCAATAATTTAAATCTAACATCAATATTACAAATATAGTATTGAAAAATATATGAAATTATGTGAAAACATTGATGAAATCACTGTCCAAAAAACATTAAGGGTGACATTAGATGATTTGTCCTAACTCATGCTATAGTAGGAAAGGATAAGACATCTTAAGTCTCCCATTTAGTTTATAGAAAAAAAAATGAAACGATATCAAGTCAAGTTTAACAAATTTCCTGTGCATGTCAAAAACATAAAAGATATAATATGAGCGATGTAAGGATTTACATCAACTGACATTGGAATTTTAGTGAAAGTACCAGGATTTATGAATGTTGGTACTGGGAATACATTACAAAAAAACAATAAGGAATATTGGACTATATTTGGAACTGGGTGCAGGAAGAGGTGCGATTCAGTTAAACTAGACACTTAAGTAACAAGTAGTTATATTTATCATTAAGTTTGTTTTATCCAATATTAAATTTCAAAAATCTTTTATGGAAATGAATCCTCTTTGAGCAGCCTCTTGTACCCTAAGGCTTCTATTTTTCCTCTTCAGTTCATTCTTTAAATAACTTGACTTATTGAAGTTCTTCTTCCATAAAATTTGTCAAATACATTAACAGATTGGTACAAAAAAGGTGAAGCAGAATTTTACCAAATTTAAGTCATCAAGCTAACGAGCAACAAGAAAAGAAATGGATACCGAGTCCTAGAACACTTTATCAGAATGAAATCAAGGCATGTAGATAAGTAACATCTGTGAATGAAAATCAAATTGTATTTATTTTTTTTATAAAAGCAGTTTAAATATTTTGTAACTGCTTCTACAAGTTGACTGAACAGATTTTTGTTTTTGGGTTTCCCCTGCTAAATAGCAATCGTTTTATGATACAATCAAAATAATGAAATACTATGTGCTTTCTATAAAATTATTTAATTTCATGGGATTTTAATAAGAACAATAGCTTTGAAAACAAATACAAACTCTCTTTACAAACTTATATATCATATAATTCTCACTAAATAAATACAGAATCCAGTAGTATAGTACATCAAGGACATTATTAGCCTCAGAAATAATTCATGAATGGTAAATCAATTAGAGAATTCTACAAATGACAATATCAATGCATCATGGTTCCATTGACAGAACAATGTAACGAAAAAATGAAGAAATTTGAGATACACATACCTGCAAATAAAATACTACTATACTTGTACACTACTATTAAATTACGGTGATATTTCTCTCTCCTCTCAAAATGACATTGTCATCTTATCAAATTTTAGCCAAATACTGCTGGTAATACAGCAATACTAATTATTTTCTCATAGGAAGTATGAACAAAACAGTATTTCCATTGTAGTGTTACCATAAATATTTTCAATTATGCTACAAAGTTTCTACAAACAGGCAACTATAATGGAATACTAAAATAGAAATCAGCAATAAATGTTGAAACTGATATAAGCTGTGATCTTTGTGAAGAATATGAATTACCACATCATCTCTCGTTGCAGTGAATGCAAATGAAATAGCACATATTAACCAAACACTGTAAGGAGCCAATATCTGTCAAGGACACACTTGTTCGACACATTTGTCTACGTTTCACATTCACACAAGTAGAGAAGTTTTACATGACTTAAGCTTCTATGTTTTAGCTTAACATAATATTGGATCAACATAACATCACAGAAAGGTTTGGTATGCCGCTGTGCAAATATTACCATTGGTGAACGCCCGCATATAAATAGGAACCTGTTGTATCGACATGAGAACAAACCAGTATCCAGAGAAATTGATAGCTCCTATAATATTCATTCATCTTAGAAGTTTCCATAATGTCCCAATCTGCAAAATACATAAATTGTTATAGGAATTAAAGCAAAGTCATAATTAGAATCTGCATGCAACATATCAATAAACTGCCTTATAATATATACTGAGAGTAGTCAAACAATTTGGTGAAAGAAAATAATGTGTAACTGTTGACAGCAATGAATTAAAATGTCAAATACTGTACCTGAATAAAAAGGCAGTATTATTGTTGTTTGCTACACTGAAATATCCACTGTTTAAAGAAAAGTCCATTGCATTAGGTCTAATTACATTGTAGGCAAATCCTGGGAAATTGCTAAAGACAGTCATTGATGGAAAATGTGCCTAAAAAAATAAATTTGAATTAGTGCAAAATATATACAGTGTATTAATATCGAAAGATACCTGAAAACACAAAAAATCATGATAACTATTGGCAAATGCTGATCCCATGTTTTCAAGGCAAGAACCCATGGCACAAATTGATTCATAATATAATTGGGAAAATTCACTGAATATTTGAAAACACATTCAACTTTTGTGCATGCATGAACTCTTATTTCACAACAGTTATTTGGTTTCACACTATTTCTAAATATATTGCTACTTAATATAATACCAAAGAAAGGAAAGAAACAAAAACTCACCATTCTAATTGCATTACTTTTATAATGTGAGGCAATTGCAAGCATCTCTGAACTAGCATTAAAAGCGAGGGAAGTAATTGAGGTAGTGAGATTATAAATTATTTTGGCAGGTGTTGGTTTGCCTTTCGATTTCGACAATGAAGAACTTTCATATACATTCACCACTCCCTGAGCTGAGCCAGTGGCAACATACTGCCCATTGGCGGACAGGGCCAAGGCTGTACCACTTATGCAGCCATCATCATAAAATTGGAAGAGACAGGATCGACTGTTCATATCCCACACATAGACCATTCCTGAATCTGAAACAAGAATAAAGATCCTGCAAGAATGGAGAAGAAACATTCTCCCTCAAAACCAAGACATCAAATCACTCTTAAAAATGCCAATACTGTCAATAAACATTACTTAGTGAGACTGAAACCAAAATACCTACTTTCTGATAAATATATTGTTCGGAGCATAACTGAATAAAATTGTTTCAAGTTCCTTAGAAATTCACACAACTTGTTAAGCTAGGTTAGCATTGTGAAATGTGACTCAATAGCAAAATTTATTTACATTCGTATTACTCGCGCAGGTATCTTTTTTTGAACAGTGACCATGCTTCCTCCTCTCTGGCACAAACAGTTGAAGGCAAAAGCTCACAGTGAGCACTGATTACAATATTCCCAACACATCTTCACTGGCGCAAAGTAGAAACAATTTTCTTTTGAAGGCAAGAACTTCTATTCGTTATTTTCTCAAAAAAATCTAAAGAAATGACCAAAACAGGTAAATATCTATCACAGGAGATACTCCTGAGAAAGTTAGAACGCAAATTATTGAGAAAGTTGCGAAGGCATGACAGATTTTCCAGATTGGTATTGTTTCATAAAATCTAGAGGCCAATTTTGTAGCTAATACCCCCACTCTTCCCTCATTTCTTCAATCCATCGTTTAAGAAGAGTCACGAAAGTAACATGTACCCTTCTCACAATAATAATTAATTGCATTTAGTGGAATTATAATGGCGGTCTCGGATTCCAAACAAATAAATTTTAAAAAATTGCAGGCAAAACAGTGGCCATGGCATTGTGAATAAAAGTAAAAAATGAATTGAGTCACAAAATATAATTAATTGCAATACAATACTTTGCATTTTTTTAAATAAAAATATATGAAAACCTTCTGGAACTTTTCCTCAAGTGTATTTTTATGTACAAATAGTGTTTCTCTTTTACTTCTGCATTGGAATGACAAACTTCAAATCAAAAGTTCATAATTTTAACTGACAATGTCATAAAGAGCTAAAAGATTTCATTGTCTAATCCACTTGAAAATTAATAGACCTCAACACTCAAGAATTATAAACACAGAAATACACTTAAATGTGGGGGATGATGAGCCTTTTTTTTAATTTTTATTTTGTGTCTTCAGTTGACACAACACTTCTCCAAGTTCCAGAAGGTTTTGAACGCTTAGCGCATTCAGAGTATTCCACCATAATTAATATTACAATGTCAATGTCACGACTCATCACATTCAGTTGTCAAGAGAACCGCCAAGTAGCATTTCTGTGTGCGCGCCCCTGCGTCACTACACAGCGGCCAGAATTGGGGTAGGGTTTAGGACACTTCACAGGGATTGGACTAGACCCTGTGAAGCCTGCAAACTAGTTTTGTCGTAATTTTCTCCAACAATATACAGAATGATCATTTAAAGGATATATTAAATATTTGCATGTACACAAAAAACAAACAGGAAAGGAAATAAACATATTTCTTGCTGTAACACATGCTGGTAACTAATTCAAACAGATAATGGAAGAATAAAATTAAGGCAATGGATGAATTCTTTTCATAGCCTTAGACTGGTATAAGTATTAATTCATAATTTTACCTATAACAAAGAACAAAAATTAACATACCTCCATGAGAAAATAATCGAGAACCATCAACATTAAATGCTAGTACAGAAACTTCTCCACTCATCTTTAGAGTAGCAATACATTCCCCTGTACGTACACAGAGAAGATATATGTTACCAAACCGGCCGGCAACAGCCATAAACTGACCGTCTGGAGAGAGCTGGAAATGCTGAAAAGAAACGTTTTGTAAGTATTAAGCTCCAAACAATCATTCTCCAAATTTATAAATTTTCTGTTCATTTACCTTGAAATTTGTTATTGGAGTTACTGTCTGAGGCTGAACCTTTAAACTACGACCTTCAAGCATATCATAGCGATAGTAATATGGAAGTTCTCGAGAGCCAACCAGAAAATCATTGCCGTCTATTGTAAATTTTGCAGTACTAATTGGAAAACGTTGGAATTGAACAGAATGCAATTTGTTATTTTTTTCGCCATCTACCTGTAAAACGCAATGGAAAATTATAATCTATAAACATAAAATGCACAGTCATTACATCAAACAGTGAATGGACATAATATTATTTCAACACTAGCAAAACAGCAGGTATACGGAATAATAGTACGGAATAACAAGTATGCAGAATGTAAAACCTGTCTAGGCCCGGAATTGTTAAGGTCCAACATTTTCTCATGTCTTGTACAGATTTCCAGCTTATTCAAGTTTGCAATACAAACTTCAATTCAGAAAATGCAATTGTTCGAAAATGGTATAGGTTGTATGAGTAGTTCATCTCACCTAGTAAAAGCTAATTTCAAAGAAGAAGTCCCTGGAGAGACAAAAAAAATGACATACAGAAACGCAACACTAAGTCTAATAAAACAAACAACTCCCTTCTTCAACATTTGTAAGAATACTTGAATTTATCTGATGATTTAGGCTTTGGCTATTTGCTTAGATACTAATAAACATTGTGGCAACCACCTGCAAAAAAATTTCTTTTCACCACCCATGAATCTGTTTTTGTTTTGAACGTGCCATACACCTAGTTCCCTAAGCTTTAAATTTCTTTGTAAAAACATTGACAGAAGTGTTGCTTTGTTTGTGATCCTCAATTAGTCTAACTTTCTCTCTAAGAGTTAACGTGCCGTCTTACAAAAAACATAGAAATAATACATCTGCAACTCGTCAAACTGAAAGCATTTAGAACCATCGAACCCAAGCACACATTAGTGAACTGTGGAAGGATCCCTCTGGGTCTCTCCTTCCTTCAACAGTGCTTGTGAATGTCAGTGCTTTCCCATGAGTAGAGCATGAAATACGATGTTCAGATGAGGGTAGCTGAGAAAGCAAAAGGTTGAGCACAGCTCTGAGCGTCTCGTGGGACGATGTCACCACACTTATCAAGGTTTAATTTTAACAGAATATTTGTTTTCCATCTTTTATAGAATTTCTCAAACCATCGTACTATAAAATCCTTTCCATTTTACAAATTCAGCGGGTTTCCAGCTTATCCAGAGTAATTTGCATTCAAAAATAGCCTGTTTAGATGTTGTCCATTGAAGGCAAGTTTCTGCCTGAAGACAGATTTTACTGTACTTACTATAGATTAAATTACTTAATGCTTGGAAAATTGATTTTGGGATATAAATGGAAATTTGTATGGAATGAAATGTTCATTTTGAGATCACCTCATGCTGAAGTGTTTTTTCTTAAAATGTACGAGTTTCTCCTACACTATTCATAGATACCCCCCCCCCAAAAAAAAAAAATTAGGTAATATTCTGACTTGCGGATGCGTAATCCAGTGATTTTGAAAATTGAAATGTTTTTGCAACATAATTGTTTTGCAAATATTTGCTGGAAATTATTTCATGGCTCTCCTGATTGATTTCGAAATACATAAATGTAGCTCTTCAGCCTACAGGGCTGACAACAAAAGGTTTTAGTATGGAATGAAATCTTTGCCATAAGAATATTCTCCTACAATTAATATATCTATCCAAACCAATACGACTTTGTCCCATACAACTTGATGACCACTAAAATGTTTCAATGTTTGGATTACTCAACAAAAACCTAGACGAAAGTCTCCTATCACAACCTGGACAATACCAAGACAGCTGATCAGAGTTCCTACTCAGCTTAATATAAAATCTTTTTACAATCTAGGAGTGAGGAGACATTCTCTCCTGGATTAAAGCCTTTTTTAGAGAATTGAACTTTTCAAGTCCATGTTAAGTCAGGCCATTTAACAATCTGCAAAGTTCCAAGTGGGATCCCATAGGGATGTGTCCTGGAACAAGAGTTCTTTTCATACTGTAAAGAGAACTGGATAACCAAGAAAGTCAACACTATACTTTTCCTGATGAGAAAGGCTTTAAAACACATCAACTGACATTCTTTTAATGTACACTATCTACATTCGCCAATTCTAGATTATGCTTACCTGATCTCGAATCCCTACCACACCAAACCAGCCTTGAAAAAATACAGAAGCAGGCAACAAAAATACCCCAGGAAATAAAGAATGCACTGTACTACAGTATACAGTAGCTAAACCATATGAAACAAGCTTGCAGAACAGCAATTATCTACCACAAAAACTGAAAACACAGGGCAGATCAGGTTCAGATGATCAAGATTCTGAACAGATTTTACAAAGACATATTCTTCCTCAGATTCTAAGTGGAACACCTCTATTGACATGTTCACAAAATCCAAAAACAAGGAAGGTGCTTCCAGGGAATGTAGCTAAATCCCAGTGTCCATGTTTAAACTAAACTACAGTAGCTTAAACATCAAAAGATATAACTTTTCATACAATATACTTAAAAAGGCAGTACCAGAACCTTCACGTCAAAACACCTTTTGAAATTTTGATGACATATCAGAAGCCCACCTCAAAAACATTAGCAGCCATTTTCCACTGAAAAGTTCCTATTGAGTCGGAATCTTGCAGCACCGCTTAACAGCCCAGCCCAACCATTATCTGCACAACTAATAATGAGCAGGTTGAAAAACCCAAAACCTTTCTCAGAATTAAGAAGACATGAAAATGTTCATTTCCATGAAAGTCAAGAAACCACGTTTTTGCAGCATTACATAACTTTCTCTCTACTACATATATAACTTCATAAATATGTACATATACCAGAAAGTACAATTTTCTTCACTAGCAAATGGGAAGAAAGCTTCTTTAAAGTTTAGGGAATTAAGAGAGATCCATCCATATTGTGGGCATTTTCATCTACATATGTATTAGTGCATTAACTGAATGTATTTTGTAGAAGAACACACCCATTCAGAAGCTGAAAGTCCATTTTGTTTGCATTTTGCACTCAAATTCTCCTTGGCCCATATTGTGGGCAAACCATTGTGTTTAATGTAAAAAGCTATCTTTAACATTTTTTAATTTCCTCCAACCATATCCCTTTCTGCTTTGCCATGAACAAAAGAGAGAGAGAAATTTTATCTTCTTACTTCAAATATAATGTTTTTTCCAAAAATAATTAATCACATATGAGAAAAATCTTGTTTTTGCATCAAAGTCCCTGTGAAATTTCAGAGGTTTACTGTCACAAATCATCATTCACATTTTTATTTGTTCTTACATGATCAAACCAAGACTAATACGAGGGTTGCCTTTTATATTTCAGGATTAGAGGACAAAAACAAATATTAATCATCAAAAATCACTTTATTGTTTTTCAAAATATTCCCCATGAAGATCTATACACTTTTGCATGCGTTTGAACCAATTGTCGAAGCACTTTTGCCACTCTGATTAAGGTATCTCCAAAACATGCATTCTGAATGCAGCAACCGCTTCTTCAGGTGTCGAAAAACAGTTTGTTTTTTGCGTACGGGAAAAAAATAAGTCATTCGGTGCCAAGTCAGGACTATACGGCAAGTGACTCATCAAATCGATGTTTTGGGTGCTCAAAAATGCAGTTGGTTGAGCCGATGTGTGAGAGTTCGCATTGTCATGGTGAAGAGTGATCCGTCTTCGGCAGTTGGTTTTCCTGATTTCTTCGAAGACAGCTGGCAAACAAATCGTTATGTACCACTCAGAATTGACTGTTCTGCGTTGTTCTAGAGGTACGGTTGCGACATGTCCAGTTTTTCCGAAAAAACAGGTGACCATCTGCTTGGAAGTACTTTGTGCGCTAACAACTTCGGTTGGATTTTGCTCATCTTGAAACACCCATACAGTCGACTGCTGTTTACTTTCGGGCTCATACGCGTAAATCCACGATTTATCACGTGTCACGATGTCATAGACGTGTTTCGAAGCACCGCGATCGTATTTTTGAGCATTTCTTTCAACCAATCGACACGACCCTTTATTTGAGCGATTGACAAATTGTGTGGGATCCAACGCAAACAAATTTTTTTGACAGTCAAATGTTCATGCAATATTAAATGTATGCTGGTCCCACTAATGCCTAAGGTTGTCTCAATCTCACGATAGTTCATATGATCTTGCAATATCAGTTCACGCACAGCATCAATGGTTTTCGAAACAACTGATTTTCGACGACCTTTGCGAAATTCGTCTTGAAGTGAACTACGACCACAATTGAATTCACCATACCATCGATAAACACTGTTCTTTGATAGAGCATCATCGCCAAAAATTGAATTAAGTTCATCCATGCATTGTTGCTGAGTTAACCCACATCGAAAGTTGTAAAAAATAATCACAAGAAAATGTTCACGATTTAATTCCATTCTTGGGCCAAGATTAATCTTTTAAGTTACTGTAAACAAAACTAATAGCACTCGTATGACAAAACGTTCTGAGTACGTATAACTTCAAAACATCCAACTTTACGATAGAGCTGTCAGTTGCCAGACTGCAACACCAGGGTTGTCAAATCCCGAAACATAGAAGGCAACCTTCGTATTTCTCATATATAATAACGTTTTTTATGTTCATTGGCATGTCAATTTTCACACACTTCTTCCAAAAATATAGTTGTAAATCTGATGTCAGGTATCAAGATTTTATACACACTTATGATATTTCTTACTGACCTCATTCAACCGAAATTCCTTAGCTTTCTTCCTGCAGCTAATGTTAACATTTACATTTCTCGTATGGCTTGGAAAATAAACTGAACCGAAGGATTCGAAAAGCAACTGAAACTTAGAATCACTGACTCCCGTTTCAAATTCTCCACATTCTACCTGTGGTAGGAATATTATTATCACACGTATGTTGAGATTTGCCGCCTATTACAACTCCACTCCAGTGCACTTATTTTCAATCAATTCAAAAATGCATTGACTCATTTGTATTTCCTGACAATGATAAATATTTACTATCAAAATAACTCAATACTAACTTATGTTTGTTTACAAGTTTAAAATAACTTGTTCTGTGGTGCACGTCGATGTTCTTTCTTCTTTAACACAGAAAGCCACACAGAATACAAAACTTCACAGCCCTTTGACACAACCACAACTTCCTGAGTTCCTTGTGCTGCCAGTTCAGTCACCCTAAGGGCTGTCCAAACGGACCAGTTAAGTCCTACCTATTCCCTGGAGCTAATATGAGTAATTCAATTATTAATTAAGAGGCCTTTCAGCGGAAACTGGCAGCTAATTTTCTGCGTATGGGTTTCTGGTAGCACATCATGTATGTCACCAAAATTTTGAGGTGCATTTTAAACGTGAAGACTTTTGATAGTACCCTTTCTCATACCAATACACTGACATTGTACATATTATTATCATTATCATCATCATTATCATTATTTATTTATTTATATACATATAATTACAGGCAATCACCCAATTATTAAATATCATTTACATTGTCATTTACATTACAGTATTATTGAAAATCATTTAGTAACAGGTTTTTATAAGTTTTTTTTTTAATTGATAAGGTGAACAAAATAAGTTAATGCGGTTACAGTTCGCACTTCTACACATTTTCCATAATGGCGCATAATAGTACAAGGTTGATCTCACAAAAGGAATATTAAATAGCATGCTGTTTGTAGAACGCAGATCACGCACTGGATTAGCCCAAGAAATTTTACAATGTAATTCTGAAGAGTCTATATCATGATTTATCAAATTATACAGAAAAAAAACATCAAAATAATCCCTATGGGAGCGTAATGAGCTAATATTCAATCTAGTTGCGACTAAAAAAAAATTATTACTAAATCTAGATGGAATATCAAGCTTGAAGGCAGCAAAAATAAAAAAATTGTGCTGAACAGTTTCAAGTCTAGAGATATGGTTCTGGTAAAAGGGAGACCATATTTGTGAGCCATATAATAATATGGGTCTTACTAGAGTTAAATATAAAGTTTTGATGGTTTGCACATTAGTAAATTCAGATGCAATACGTCTCACAAATCCTAACATCTGATTTGATTTATTAATAATATCATCAATGTGTAGATGAAAACTCATTTTTTGATCAAAAATAACACCCAAATCTCTAAAGTATGAGACTGATTCCAACATTGCATCTCCTAGTTCATAATTGAATACAATGGGATTACTAGATCTAGTAAAAGACAAGGACTTACATTTACCATTATTCAAATTCAAACACTTTCATGAACACCAATCTAACAGTGTATTTAAGTCACATTGTAAATCGAAACAGTCTTGTAATGAATTCATAGTTTTATAAATTTTCAAGTCATCAGCAAAAAGTAGGAGTTTTGAATATGGAAGAGTTTTCTTAAGATCATTTACAAATAGAATGAATAATAGTGGTCCTAGGTGGGAACCTTGTGGGACTCCAGATGTGACGTATATATTTCTAGAAACGAAGGATTTATATTTCACATTCTGCGTTCTCCCAGTTAAGTAACTATAGATCAAGATTGTACCATGAATACCAATTTCTTCCAACACGAAGTAAAAGAACATGGTTTACAGTATCGAAGGCTTTGGAAAAGTCTGTATAAATTACATCTACTTGTTTTTGTATATCTGAATTTCTAAGTATATAATGTTGGATAGTCATCAAATAAGTAACAGGAGACCTCCCTTTACGAAAACCATGTTGTTCCTCGATCAAAATTGGATTTAGAAATTGCGTCAATTTAATTGTTATGTTGGATTCCATCAATTTAGCAATTATACAAAGTTTAGAGATTGGTCTATAATTCTCAACGTTAAAACGTTCATCTTTTTTGTGAATCGGACTTATATAACTGGTTTTCCACATCTTTGGGAGGGTTCCTTCTTGCAGAGATTTAATAAATAAAAAGTGGTAAATTGTTCTTCATTATCTATATAAATGATATCGTTGAAGCTTTTAAAAACTCTTCATTTAATATTTCGCTGATGATTGCCAAATTTGGCGTAAAATATCTGATGTTAATGAGGCTACTTTACTTCAAGACGACCTAAATCGAAAGATATCATGGTGTAACGAAAACAAACTTGAATTAAATATAAACAAATGTAAACTACTTTGTTGTAATCGTGGCCATACTGAAGTAACAGTAGATTATA